GCTCTTCCCCTTCCTCCTCCTCTTCGGGGAGCCCCTCGGTGCCCAGGAGCCCTTCGGACTCATCCTCGAAGGGGGGCAGGTCCCGACCGGGGCTGCTCGTGAAAGCATCGCCGCGGCGGGAGCTCCGCACGGGGCTGGTCACCGCTGCCTGCGACTCGGAGGAGTCCTGCAAGGACAGGAGGGAGGGTGAGGGCACGGGGCCGCAGGAGAGAGGGGCTAGCGCCGCCAGAGGCCTCTGCCACGCGGGCCGCCGTCAGAAGGGGGTATTTGGATCACCCGTGAGCTATAATAATTAGCCCTCCTCGCAAATGACAATGGAAACATATGGGGGGGAGGGGGGGAGACACGGGGGTGAATCCATCGTCGCAGCGCAGCCGGAGCGGAGGGAAAGGGTCCGATCGTGGCCCGGCCCCGCTCTGCTCTGCGGCGCCGGGCACGCGGGAAAATTCCCCCGGCGTTTCGGGAGCACCGCCGGGCGCGCCCCCAGTGTCCCTCCCACCCCCAAATCCTCTCTGGACCCCGCAGCGCCAAGTGTCCCGCAGCGGGGAGAACCCGGGGCCCGCACCCGCGGCGGCGGCACCCCAAATGATCGGCTGCCCCGGCCCGGCCCGGCCCGGCCCGGCCACTCACCGCCATCACCGCCGCCTCCTGCCCCGCGGATTCCGCGCGAAAACCAAACCACGTGGTCACGAAAGCGCGCGAAACCTCATGAATTATGGATAAGATTGGCCCCGCCTCCTTGTGAATATGCATGAGGGGGCGGGACCCAGGGCCACCCCCGGCCAAGGGGGCTCGGGCGGCTGCTGGGCTGCGCTGGCAAACTGGGCTTGAGGGGTCTGCCCCTCCCGGGAGCCCGAGTCACGGGAGAGACCCCGCTGTGAATTCCCGTGCTCACGGCTGCCTCTTTGGGAGCTAAAATCAAGCTTTGCTTGACCGCTTTGCCACTGACCCAGTTCAGTCATCTTTGTTCTGATTCTCGCTGAAACTACAAAAGGTGGGAAGGAGGTTCTGGCAGTTTCTGGTTTTGTGGCGGGGGGTGTTTGTTTGTTTTTTTTTTTTTTGTTTGTTTGTTTTGTTTTTGTTTTGTTTTGTTTTTTTGGGGGTTTTTTTGGGTTTTTTTTTTTAATGCAAGCCTGTATGAGCTGAAAGTAACAGGGGGCTGATCAGAGCTACTCTGGAGAACAGACGCATCTGTCTCTCCAGCTGTGCAGTGCAGCAAGCAAATGCCATTTGTGAGAGGAACTGAGGAAGAGCACCTGTCTCACACAGATTGGAAGAGGAATTTGCAGACACAAACAACCAATGGGCTGATGTTTGGCAAGGAGATGGAATGCTTCCTTCCAGGCCACACGATCTTGTATAACAGCAGGTGGTTTGGATTTTGGAGCTCTGCATTCTCTGCAGGGTTTCTGACCACTATTTAGTATCAGACTATTTCTTCTCTTGGCTGGACTTGGGTGTGAGACAATGACCCTGAAACAGGAGACACCAAAGCAAAAGTGACTGAAGAGGCAGCTGACAATGTGAAATGGATCTTGCAGGAGCCCAGCTGGATGATTCAGGCTGTACCAATATAGCAAAGCAGGAGCTTTGATATAAATCATGATATAAATAGGAGAGCGGCTCAGCCTCTTCTCTGTGACTCGTGGCAGGGAGCTGGCTGGTGCTCGCAGTGAAACAGACACAGGGACACCCCAAGATGCCCCCACTTGTAGGTTTCTAGAGACCACTGTGGGCTTGGTGATCTTAGAGGTGACAGAATCACAGAGCCTTGAAGGTTGGAAAAGATCCTCAAGGTCATGGAGTCCAGGCATTAATCCAGCCCTGCCAAGTTCACCACTAAAACATGTCTCTAAGCACCCCATCTCCATGGTTTGGGAACACTTCCAGGGATGTGAATCCACCACCTCATTGGGAAGCCTGTTCAATGCTTGAACACCATTCCAATGAAGAATTCTTTCCTAAGGTCCAGTCTTCCAACCCAAATGATTCTATGGCTTAAGGGAAGGCAGCCCAGGACCCAGCTAAGGTGGTGCTGTCTGACAAGGCCCAGATGACACACTGTGATGAGCCAGTGTCACCACAGGGTGCCACTGTCTGTCCAGGCACCAGACAGCTGGATGGACAGACAGATTTTCTGTTTGTCCTTCCTGGAAGACCACACACCATACCATGTGTTCACTGCTAACTTTGGGTGCCACCTACAAGTGGTCCTGTGCTTGAGCTGGGGTGCTCTTTGACAAGAGCTAAGCTTGGGCAGCTGAAAGCACCCCTAAAATCAGGCTGCTGCCATGCACGGAACATGGAACATAGAGACATGGACTGGGTACGTGAGAGGGCTGAGATGCAGATGGGGCCCAGGCTGCTCGCTGGGATGATCTCACCTGAGCACCAAACTGCTGAATATCCAACCATACCACTAGGATTTTGCAGACTCGTGGCTTCTTGCAGCACAGGAAGAGCCCTGGCGACTGAATTCCCCTTGGAAAAAAAAAAGGCAGAGACACAGGGGTGCAGTCCAGGTGGTATCCTGTGGTGCAAATTTATGCCCAACACTAGAAATCAGCAGGTTGGTAGAACAGCTTTGAAACAAGACAGGCACATCTGTCCCTGCAGTTGCTCAGCATCTGAACAGCAAAGCAGTTTCAAATCAGAAATAATATCCTGCAGACTGATCGAATAAAAACTGAAAGAGTATTTGAGAGAGATAAAATGTCTCAGAAGAGGGGAATTTGGTGACTACATAAAGGTGTAATGCTGTTCTGGACACCATGTCTGCATCTTCCACCTCTGACACCTGCAAGGCAGGTGAGATTGGCACAGCACAGCAGGCTACAGCAGGTAGAGCAACAAGTGCCAGCTTTCCATGGGGCCCCCAAGGTTGTATCAAGGCTGCTGAACATCACCTCTTGTCCTGCTTCAGCCCAGCAGCACCAAGAGATACAGCAAGGACAGAGCGAGTGAGCCCTGCCATCTTTAGGTGCTGGCTGGAGATGCCACAAGAGCAGCGGTGCTCAGCTGAAGTGGAAGGATGTGTGCAGTTAAGGACATGGAGCAGTCCTTGGAGGTGGGAAGAGGGGAGTTATGTTTGCCCACACCATGTGGGGGCTGACAGGCAGGGCTGGTTAATTCAAAGGAGCAGTAAGTGTGGATGCCCCACCTCCTGTTTCTCATGAGAAGTGAGGAAGGCAGGAGCTGAAGTGTCACGGTCCTTGCAGTGGCATCCAGCAGTCTCCTGACCACGAAACAGCTTTTGGATCTGGTGTCCCAGTTACTGGGCTCTAGCCTCAAACTGAATCACATGGGAAAAGCAGGTGGATTGGAAAGCAAAATCTCTCCTTCTGACAGTTATGTGGGAGGTAACACATTCAACTAGTTAGTGCCTGAGGCAACAAGTGAGAAGACATGGATTTTACTTGTCTGTTACCAAGGCACTTCTTAGGCAGAAACACTCCACCTCTCTCTAAACAGAAGTGTCCCTTCTGTAACTCAGAGATCTTTGTGTCAGCCAAGCCTTTGAGCTTGGATCCCTAAATGGAACGTGTCAAAATATTGCAACATATCATTAACCTGAACGACAGTGTGAAATGAGACAAGCTAAGGACTGGCTTCTCCAGATGTCATTCCAAAGGCATGACACCAGCATGAAAACCTGTTTCAACCCAGTGGAAAATCAGCAGAATAGGGCTGAGGCAGGCAAGTCTCCAGGTACAACCCCTTCATGAGGCTCGCTGAGGAACAGCTGGAAAATTTGACCTAAGAAGAGGATCAAGCAGATTTAAGCCGAGGAAGATCCATCTGTGTGTGAGGAGGGCCTGGACCCTCTGGGTCCGGTGTTTGCTAGAGCAGAACGTGCCAGCTTGACCAAGGTAGGGATCCTCTAAAGAGGTGTAGGCTCTGTACAGCAAATTTCAGTGTAGCAAAAGCCTTTTATTCCTGCAGAACCAAACCCTGCAGCCACAGGTGAGCCCAGGTAGAAACCCGTGCCAGAATGCATCCTGCAGTCCTTGCAATGACTCAGATAACAAACATTCTCCTTGGAACTTCCCTGTCAGTCAGCTCTTACTGCCGAGAATAACGTGCTGGTGCTTAGCTGGTTATTTCCTTTAATTTCCTAAATAAATCTTGGCTCATTTGTCACAGTTACTTCCTTGTTTACGATACCGAGCGTCTCTTTCGTCTGCCTGGCATTCGCACCTCGAAATCCTTCTAATTATTGATCGCATTTCCCTTTAGCAGCTGTTGTCCAAGCTACGCCGTGCTTCTTCAGTCAGCTTTGAACTCTCCTTAAAAGCCAAACTCGCAGGTTGTTAATCATTCTCCCCTGCAGGAACTTATTACCGCGGATCTCCCTCAATTATTAACTGCCCCGCCTTGCATCCAGAGGCCGCACAGAATTCCCGCGGAGCGTGACGGTGGGTGCAGGATGGCAGAGCGCTCGTTCTTGGGTGGGATGTCGGGCTGTGGGATCGGGCTGGAGAGGACAGAGCCTGCCCTGCACGGGCAGAACCGAGACCGCCGGACCCTCCCAGCCCGGGGTCACCTCCCTGCCCGTCGCCACCGCTGCCCGACGGGCTGGCGACTCACAGGTGTGTGGGGGACGAGGCGCCTTTAAAGCGCGGCGGACCCGCCCCCTTAGTCCCGCCTCCCGGCCCTTTCTATTGGCTCGCTCCGCACTTCTTTCGGGCCCTTTGACAGGAGCCGATCTCTGATTGGTCCAGCCGCGGACCTCTCGGGGACCGTCTCTCAATAGCGCTCCTGGGATCGGCCGACAAGCCCCGGCTGTGGCGGCCGCGTCTCCGCTTGGCTGCGCGGCGCTGCGCTCCGGCCTCTGTTCAGCGACGCTCCCCGGCTGAGGGGAGCGGCAGGCCCGGGGCCGGGATGGCGGGGCCGGGACCCCGCGACTGAGCGGCGGCGGCGAGAGCGGGGCTGGCCACGAACGGGGCCCGGCGGGTACGAGCGGAGCGGGGCCGCGGGAGGGGATAGTGCGGCGGGACGGAGGGAGGGAGCGACACTGCGGCGCCTCAGCGGGGCCGTGCTGCGCGGGGGCCGCGGGCCTCCGGGGGCCGCCTGGTGCAGCCCGGGAGCCCCGCGGCCGGAGCGCCCGGGGCACCTGTGGCCAGCTGAAGGTGGGGTGGAACTGCAGCGGGTCTCCAGCTGTGCCTGAGACAGGCGGAGCGTCCTCGCCAGCCTGGAGCCGAGTGACCGCGCTCTGCCGCTTTCCTTGCGTGTTGTGCGCCCGCCTTCCACAGGAATCAAAACCAAAACAGAAGAAACCCCGGGATATGCATTGCTGTAATCCGCCTCTGGGTCATAGTTCTCTGTCTCTGAGGCTTTGGGCTTTTTTTTCTACTTCAGCTTTCGGTATTTTTCTTTTCTTTTTTTCTTTTTTCTTTTTTCTTTTTTTTTTCCTTTTTTTTTCCTCCCTCATTGCAGTTCCTTTATTTTTAAGCTTAGTTCAGAACGAGATGTGAGAAACTGGAAGGGAGCGCCTCAATTACTGGGGGAAAATCCCTGTCTTAAATTTTAAGAGTGAAGTGAAAAATGCACCTATTGTGGCCAAAAGAGAGGGTTGAAGTGATTTCTTAAAAAGGAAGAGAGAACCAAAAAAAAAAAAAAAAAAGAAAAAACCAAACTTTTTTTTTATTATTTATTTTGTTTAGGGTTTTTGGTGGTTTTTTTTTTTTTTACTTGTTGTGTTCTGGGGTATTTTTGAGCATTTAAGTTACTGAAGTAACAGTTACATTAGTTGAGCAGGGATCTGGTTAGTGTGGTTTTATTGCACAAATACAGTATCATAAGAAGCAGTCTTAATTCTGTCACGATCTGTATGTCAGAGACTTTCTGATGCTGCTTGCAGAAAGACAGAAAAGTTTTGATTTTTTTATTACAGCTGCAACTTGTGCAGTTTGTAATTCACCTTTCTGTAGGTGGGCTTTGAAGGAATAGACAATTGCCAGTGAATTTCAGTGAGCCCTGATATTGTTACAGTGCCATGATTCAAGGACCAGTATGCATTGGTGAGATAACATTTCCCTGAAGGTGCAGCAGAGCCCTTCCCAGTGCTCTGTCACTGCGGCCCAGGAATCATGCCCGTGTTCTTAGTCTGAATGCAGCTTGTCCAGGGCCTTCACCAAATCAGCCTGACTTCATCTGGAGTGTAGAAAAACATGTTATTTTGTGTTCTGGGGTACAGAGCTGCCTGGCGGATGAAGAGGGGAGACCACGACAGCAGCACTGCTTCCTTTCCAGGCAGTTCTGGGGTGATTTTACCCACCATGGGCTGGGCTGGCTGAAGCAGGCAGTCCCATGGAAGCAGGGTGTGGTGAGTGAACTCTTGGATATGCTCAGCTGACTGAACTTATTGAGGACTAGACAGGGCAAAGACAGTGTGCTGAAAGGAGCAGTGTTGCTGGGGATGACAGCCCCTAGTTGGATCCTTTCCCTCAATTCCTGGTGCTGTTGCTGTGGGATTTTTGCTGTTGCTTTAGACAGAAGTGGGCCAGTTCTCCACATCGTTGCTGTGGGCCTTAGCTGTTAGAAAAGCATGACCACAGTGCTGTCTGTCTGGTGGCCTTGGCTGCCCTCTCTTATCACGTTGGCTGTTCTGTTGCTATGCTTTGTGTACACTTTATGTGGGGAGGAAGAATACAAATACCAGACTATAGTGAGCAGCCTGGCTGAGAGGTGAGCTTGATTCTGCTTTGCCCTTTGAAACCTCGTGACTGGACTTCTGTTACATGTGGCCAACTCCTCTCCTTATCAGCAGCTGCTGTTGTGTGATAGTGGTGGCTTCTGGAGAAAAATAATGGAGCCTGTTTGCTCTTTTCATAGGAAGTTGTTTTGCTAATGTAAATCTTTCATATCTTTAGACTTGAGCTTTTTTCAGTGTGACAGGCAGATGGAATTTTGTCCCAGAAGAGTTACTAGGAGGTTGTGATGGTTCTCAGTTAATGTTATTCTGCCTGTGGTCTGTGAGGTTCTTCTTTACTTTTCCCCAGCTTTTTAAAAAATCATGCAGCAATTTTTCTGTGTTGGCAAATGTGACCGTTCTTGACCTCACCTCTACTGCTGTGTAGTGGTGTTAGAGAGGAAGAGAACGGAGCAAAATTGTTACGAGAAAATTCTTCTCTTAACAGTTCAGAGAAGTGAGTAGCTGGAGGGAAGAGAGGACACTTCCAGAGAGAAGTTTGGAACGTGAAGGTCGTTTGCTGGAACGTCTACTTAGAAGTTGAATTTTTTGACCCAGGCTTTGCCATCTTGGCACAAAGCTGCTCCTTCCAGATCCCTGTGTTTATTTACTGTGATGCCTCTTGTGCAGCACAGCGTATGGCAGCCACAAAGGAAAATCCCAGCTCAGGGAATATCTGTCAGCAGGGGTGAATCAAAGGCAAGGTTTGTTGGCTAAGGATGGGATGATTCCCTTGCCCCTTAGAGAACCTGGGAAGTGTGTCAGCCTCTGAAGAGAAAGAATAGCCTGTGACTGACAGTCTCAAGCAAGTCTCTGAAGAAGGTTCTACTGAACTCTAAAAGCTCAGCAGATGATACGGGGCTGTGCTGTTGCTTTCCAGCTTGTGACTCACTCAGAACCTCTGAGGGAAAATACCTTCTGAGCCCTGTCATGGGGGCTGTCAGTTTTCACCACGCAAGTCAGGCCTGGAATCAAACAGGGAGATTTTTTTTTTTAAATGAATCCTGGATTAGCTATAACACACAGACTTCTGGAGTGCTGTCCCTGGCAATGTGCATCTTTAAGGTGTTGGCTGTCAGAGATTTATCATTTCTGCATCTGTGGGTTGTCTGTGAGCTCTCTTTTGGGGATTGTCAGGAGGGGTGATTGGACCGTGTGTTTGCATTCAGCTTGTAGCTACTGAAGTACCTTAACAGTCAGGGTTCTACTTTAGGGTGGGAAGAGGGTTGCTCAAAAATAGAATCATTCTGGTGTCTTGCAGAGGGTTAGAAAAGAGTGCTGCATGTTGGTTTTTGCCAGTGTTGGGTTTGAAAGACTACAGTTCCTTCAGGTGGGTGTATGTGAGGCTCTCCCTGCTCTCAGACATCAGAGTTGGTAGCAGCAATGGGGTTTTAGGAGGGACCTTCACCTTTCTTTGCAGTATGAAATCAAATTATTGACTGTCACTTCCTGATCTTGGGACCAAGAAGAAATGTCCTGGCAAAGTAGGGTTTTTGTCTCTATCTGATGATGCCATATATTGCTGTTGAGTCTTGATTTCTTCTAGGAATCGGTCAAAGTGACAAAATTTAATCCTACACAGCACCATTTGAAGGTGTTTGTTACTCTGATATCAAAGTGTGGTTTTGTACTGACCACCCTAATGGCTGTGTGCAGACAGGGCAGGTGGCATTTCATTGTGTAATACAGTCTTTGACATGATGATAATTGGCTGTACCAAGCAGGATGCAGTTGTGCAGGGGCTTAATGTCAAGGATGTGTTTTTTTAGCTGTGACTCACAACTGATTTAATATTGCTTTTTTCTCTGCTGTGGTTGTCTTGCTCTGTTTGATCTGGACCAGAAGGAGGACAGGATGTTCCAGTCCATGATGTCTGTGATGACATTCTCTGTGTCTGACAACATCACACATTCGACTGCCCTGGTGACGGCGCTCGATAATGTGACAACTGTCTCTCCAATGACAACGCGCGTGATCAACGACACCAACATCACGGTGCCGCACAAGTGCCTGCTGTTGCTCTATGAAGACATTGGGAAGTCCAGGTGAGTTGGAGGAAATGGGACCACAGTCTGACCATGGACCAAGGGAAAGAGCTTGCTCTGTTTCTCAGTTTGGTTGAGAAGAGACTGGGGATGGTGCCTTCCTTTCTAGAGGCTGAAGATCAGGCATAAAACCTGGTTTATTTATTTTTTTGCAGGGTCCGCTACTGGGATCTTCTGCTCCTGGTTCCCAATGTGCTTTTCTTTATGTTTCTTCTCTGGAAGCTGCCCTCTGCCAGGGCCAAAATCCGGGTCACTTCCAGCCCGATCTTCACTACATTCTACATACTAGTGAGTACCACTCTGTGCCTTTGAACTGATGAGTGTTATTTTTATTATCACTCATGAACAATATCACTGAACTAGTGGAGAGAGCCTAGACCAGCTCCTGCAGGGATAAAATCTGCTTTCTGTTGAAGGTGTACTGCAAGAAGTAGGCATTTTTTTCACTGCTTGAATTCAGCTTTTAATAGGTTCTGGAGCCAGATCCGCTGGATTTTGTTCTCCTGTGGTGATTTCACTTTTTCCTTTTCCTTTTTTCTTCTTTTCTTGCTTTGATGTCTTGGAATGTAGTATCTTATGTTTTCTTTGCTCCTTGCAGTAAGTAGCATGGGACACAAACCCAGCTTTCCATTGAGGTAGTGAAAAGAGAATAATTTGTGTAAAATTGTTGAAAAGCTTGGTCATCTGCTGGAGAAAATGGTTATGTGACAGAGTTCTGGTTAGTCTGGAAATGTAGAAACCCAACCCTGTTAGTTTCTTTCACATCATGTCAAAGTGGCCCTGACTTGATGTTCTTTATTGTTCTTAAGGTGGAAACAGTATATTCAGTACAGTTACAGTTCGCAAACGTGAAATATCTTGTTCTCCTCTCACCAGTCCTGTGATACTGCTTACAGGACATCATAAATGCAGCTAAGAACCTACCTGAATTTATTTAAAAATACCATTCAGAAACTTTTTAATATCCTGCCTTGCCTCAGTATGTAGCATAATATGATTGCTCTTCCTCAGTGAGATTAGTACAGGTTGTGGAAGGGAATGTTTGAATTGGGTTAGATGGACTCCTCTTTCCCTGGTCTGTGTACAGGTACTGATATGGCAAAATCCAAGAAGATCAAAACCAAATCTGAGCTAGTAGCCTCACCTGAATCTTTCTTGGGAAGTTTTGTTAGCTTTTTCAGGCCATGAGTTGGGGTTCTGGGCTTCTGCACAGTTTTGGATAACCAGGTATACATACAAATGTTTCAGCCTTCTAAAAATATTACTGTCCCTTTCCAGTCTGGATTTAAACCTTTCTACGTCTTTCCAGTGATGCATATGGTAAGTAGAGGTTTGTGCCAAAGGCTTTGAAAAACAAAACTCTTGATAAACCAGAGGGAGGAAGGTGAACTGACTTTATGCTCTGGGTGGCAACTCAGCCCCACACAGCTGCTCTCTCACTCCCCCTCACTGAAACAGGTGAGAGAATCAGAAGAATAAAAGTGAGAACTTGTGGGTTGAGATAAAGACAGTTTAATAAGCCACAGCAAAAGCTGTGCACACAGAGAAAGCAAAGCAAGGCTTTCACTTACCACTTACCATGGGCAGGCAGGGATTCAGCTGTTTCCAGGAAAGCAGGGCTCCATCACATGTAATGGTTACTGGGGAAGACAAACACCATTACTCTGAAAGTCTTTTCCTTCCTTCTTCCTGTCTTTATGTGCTGAGCATGATGCCATATGGGATATTCCTTGGGCCAGCTGAGGTCAGCTGTCCTCTCTTAACTCGTGCACCTCCAGCCAACTTGTTGCTGGAGTGGGATAAGAGGCAAAAAATGTCTTACATTCTTTGTGAATGCAGTGCAGTAGTAATGAAAACATTTGTGTTATCAACAGTTTTCAGCATAAAAATCCTAAACACAGCCCCATACCAGCTACTGTGAAGGAAATTTCCTCTATCCCAGCCAAATCCAGCACACAGTTTTAGAGGAAAATGCTTTAACTCAGTCTCATACTCATTTCTTGAGTGTGTTATTGGGAAATGAGGATGGAAGTGTGTGTTCTGTAAGGTCTTCCTTTAGATTGGCTGTTTGTTGTGTTCTAGAGGAATGCTTTCTGTGGAGTTGGTGATTAATGTGGAGTTAACAGATTGGGAAGAGTCTCTACCTACTTAGAGAGGAAACAAAAAGATGTGTGTTCTTATCCAGTGAGCTGTTGCAGCTCTAGAACACCATTATATGCAGGGACCCATCTTTTTTGTCAGTGTTTTGTCATGGAGTTTTCCACCTCAGGAGGGATTGCTGTATTCTCTCTTGCCATTGCTGTGTCTTCTTCCTCTAAGAAAGAGAAACTCATCTGTGGGTCACTTATTGATTGTTTCAATTCTGCCTTAGAATCAGCTTGGACTCTTGGTTCTTGGATAGGTTTAGCTGTCTTCTATCTTCATCATTAGGATCAGCCTGACATTTAGAGAATTTTATCTGGAAAAATTCACTTTCTTAGATGAAAGTCTGCACAGTGGAGTGTAGATACATCCAGTGAGCTCTTAACTGCACAGTATGGCTGTGACAGCACAGGGTAACTGAGCCTCGCTGAGCTGTCATGCTTTGATGGTACGTGCAGTGAGTTGGGGATCTCTGTGTTGCACTGTGCAGCAGGGTAAGATGTTTTAAAGCTGGTGGCTGCAGGTGACTTTTCCTCTGCATTCCTGAGCATTGTCAGTGTGGAGTGAGAGATCTGCAGGTTTAGTTTTGTCACAATTGTGTAGTGTGGTAGTTGGTATTGAGTGGTTTCTGTTATCTGATGTGATTGGTTTAGTCAGACATACCAACCATTTGGTTTTGTAATTTTTTTTCTGTCTGTTTCTTTTTCTCCTCCCCTGCCCCAGTGGAATGAAGGGAAGACTAAAGATACTATTGTAAAGATTGGGTGAAGAACTCTTCAGAGCTTAATCTGACGGCTGATACAATTGTTCCTTCCTAAATTCCAAGCACTGCTCCTATCTAATGGGTCTTAGGAATCTTTTTCAGGAAATTAACTCTAGTCTGCTGCAGGAAATTCTTAGTACACGTGATCAGCCTGGAAAGCTGACCTGGGAATGGTATTCCAAAAGGGTTTCTGATCACTACTGCATATGTGCCTTTTGACATGAGCTCACTTTTGCTCTTTTTCTGCAGGTATTTGTGGTGGCTTTAGTTGGCATTGCCCGAGCTGTTGTCTCCATGACTGTGAGTGCCTCTGATGCTGCCATGGTTGCTGACAAGGTCGGTGAAACACTGACATTAGAGGCTGTGATTTGTGTACTTCTGATCACAGCAATCTGCTCTGGCTTCCCTCTTACGTGTGTACAAGAAGAATGTGCTTTTTTGTGCTGTACTCTTAGCTATGTGTACTATGGAATCCTGTTTTGATAGCTGGATCTACATCATCACAACATCCAGGATGGTAAAACAATGGGTTTCCTAAAATAGACACACAAATAGTGGCACCAAAAGTTTCCTGTTTCAGGGATTAAATGAGTCTCTTTTGCAAGAGGTAAACGTTGAGATACCTTTAATGGATAGGCAAGACCTGGCCTTTGTTACTCTTGTAATATTCCAGTGGCTCTTTGAAAATGTTGCAGTTTTTGTATTGAATGCAAATAAAACCAACTTCCCCTTTAAGACTGACACCTGAACGTCCTTGCGACCACTCTGAGCACAGGGTGAACCTTTATCAAACAGGAAATATCTTTGTATGTGCTGTTCCTTTGTAGTAATTTTGACTTGTACCAAAATATTGCTTGAGACAAAAAGCTCTGCAGTTCTTGAGCTGTTAGAGAAAGAGGAGTCACCTACAGAGTACAGGTCTTTGGGCTTTATTCTCTGGGGTCAGTGTGGTTTCCTTGCTTTTCCCTTTAATGTTACTGTCAAAGCATTGTGCTGAGCTGCTGTTGCAAGTGGCTGGATGTTTGTAGCATTTTTCATTCACTTCTGTCCAGCAGATGTAGGTCCAGGACTTGAATAATGAAGAAGAGGTGGAAAGGTGTTTTTTTCAGCTATGGTGTTGCTGCTATGTGCAGCAACTGGGAAATTATGTAGCAAGACAGATACTCTGACAGTTTTTTCTGTAAACATGTCCTATTCTGTCTAGTACGTTTCTTTTATGTTCTGTTATATATATGCACACAAACACACTGTGTATTTCCTGGGATTAGAGGTGTTTTATGCAATGCTTCTTAAAATATTACATATCTTCAAGAGAATACCGTTCAGAGGTAAAGGGTTAATAAACCAGAATTTGGGTTCTTGTTCTAGGTTTGGCACTGATTTATTGCATGACTCCCTGAAAAATTGCCTCACCTGCTTTTTTTTGGTCTTGTTTCACCAAATAAAAGATGAGATGGCAAATGACAGGCAGGAACAGGGGGTGCTTTTTACTTGAATATGCTTTAGATTTAAGGACCAGTACCTTTGGAAGAGGGCAGAATGCAGAGTTTGTTCAGGCACGTCTACTGCTTGAGGAACTGGCCTTGTTTAATATTTCACTTTTGAGGTCATCATGGGCTTGTGCTCTTTGGGAGCACAGTATCAAGAACATATCTGAAACAAGTGACAGAGCCTCAACTGAGGCAAACCATGGCCACTTCCTCTCTGTAGAGCTGTTATTTGCTCATTCCCACCCAACTGTTCTGTTCCACAGGCATGAACAGGCTTGGAACAAGCATGTGATCAGCATCCCTACAAAGTGTGAGAAGGGTTTGTGGAAATGACCAGCCATTTAGAGGCTGCCATCCCCTGGAGTTTTGCTTTATTAACTTCAGACTGGTTCCTGGTTCCATCTAATCATGTTTGTCTGGTCTCTGCTATCCCTCAGATCCTGTGGGAGATCACAAGGTTCTTCCTTCTGGCGATTGAACTGAGTGTGGTGATTCTAGGCCTTGCCTTTGGTATGTATCAGGAGTGCTTTGAATGTTTCCTGTTGCCTTTCCTTCCACAGAGGTTGTGTTTGTAAGTTTATGGTGATGCTGATTCTATAAAGTGAAGAGGCTATAGAATAAATACAAAGGGCAAATAGTGGAGATTTAGTTAGAAGTGGCTGAAGGCCTCATTATACTTAGAGATCTATGGTTTGTGTGATTTAAGGGTTTATATGTGCTTGGTTTGTCCTGCACTCATATGATGGAGTGTACAGCTTAGGTAAGATTTTTATGCCAAGATCAACAGTCTGATCTTTGCTTCAAGCCCATTTTGTTTAAGATGGTCCCATTGAGGGCCCTTCTATCCCCTTCATCCCATCCTTAATTGGTTTGATCCATCCTGGTTGCATTGAAATGCTTTATCTTCAATTTTTCAGTTATGCAAGTGAAAATGCCTCTCCCTGTGGGTCAGAGGTAGAGGAGAGGGTGGGTGTTACTGTTGCACATGTCAGTGGGACATGTGAGCAGTGCATTTTTTATCTTCTGAAGGCTCATAGAATAATTTAGATTGGGAGGAGCGTCTGGAAATTGCCTACTTCATTATATTGCAGTACAGATTTCTCTACCCCAGCCTCCCATCAACTCTTCTCCCTGAGAAGCTGCTTTATAACGTCTCAGTGTAATTGATGCTGGAATGATTACTTTTTTTTTTCTTTCCTGTAACCCCAGCAGAAGGACTTAGTTGTTTTCTCTTAGTGTAGACAGGAGGAAAGCAAGTTAAAATCTGTCAGTTTGTAAATAGGATTTTTGGCTATGAAAGGCTCAACTCTCCAAACAGGGTTTAGTGAGCTTTAACCTTCCCTTGAAGGCCTCTGGAAATAAAAGTGTTTTCCTTTATTGGTTGTGAAAAGAACTGTTTTTAACCAGTGCTGGGATTACATCCTGAGTCGCTTCCATACCCCATAATTACAGGTCACCTGGAGAGCAAGTCCAGCGTGAAGCGTGTGCTGGCAATCACCACTGTGCTGTCTCTGGCTTATTCTGTCACCCAGGTGAGTACACTGAAGCAGAATTTGCAAAAGAAGGAACTTTGCTTGAAGTTAAGCAGTTAAGTGTGTGACTCCAAAGTGGCAGCTTTGCTCTTTAGATGAGGTTTTGGAGGAAGACTGAATGCTTGTGGCAGTGTATAAGCAGATAGTATCTGCTTGTCTTCTTTACTGCATAAATAGCTCGGGTAAGGTGAAGAAATGAGGTTTGGATGGATTGCATTGTTTAGTGCATCTGGGAACAAGAGTGAGGTTTTCCACACCTGAGTCACAAGTTCTGGATTTGGCCTCAAGGGCCATGAAAACCATGTGCTTGCCAAGTAAGGGCAGTGCAGTGCCATTGTCTGCTGACTCTTTGAGAGCTGAGAGCTCTTGCTTCTCTTCAGATTAGCAGCTGGCTTGCTGGCTCAGTTTATTAGGCATGTCTTCATGTCCCTGAACAATGCAATCTGTGTCTGGGTTTATTCTCCTCCTCGGCGTGTCAGTGGTCAGCCCATGTCTCTGTACTCAGGGCAGCGCCAGAATAACACACAGAGCTTTGTTCTGGGACCAGGCTCTTGGCTGCAGAGGCAGTGAGCTGATCATTACCACATGATAAATCTGGAGGAGCCTCATAAAATATCAAGTGTTGGAGCTATATCTGGGTTCAGTAGTGCTTACAAGCAGTTTGTTCTCCACTGTCTTTAAGGGTAGCTCCTAAACAAGGCAGTGTCCTTTCCCAAACTGACTATATTCTGGATGTTTCAGCAGAAAGGTCTACTTTAAAGATGGAAATGGAGCTCTTGGTCTGTTTTAGACAGATGAGTGCTTGCATCCCCTGTCTTCCTCAGTCTTACTTCTGTAATGTCACTGGTGCCAGTTTCCTTCAGATGCAGATTCTTGCCACTCTTTCTCTCCTCACTTCTTCACTTCTTCTCACTTCTTGTCTTCAGTTTCTTCCTCTTCTGTGTGAGTGTAACTTGGTCTAAGCAGGGCAGGGCTTGGTTGGGTCAGGAGTGGGGGGCAGGCCAGCTGCTTTCTGAACCTCTTTAAGCATAGTGTCCCTTGTCCAAATATGCATTTAAGTGAGGATACTGCTTGTAACAGAATCATGTTGGTGCCACTTCTCTCCTAGGGCACTCTGGAAATCCTATACCCTGATGCCCACCTCTCAGCAGAAGACTTCAATATCTATGGCCATGGTGGGAGACACTTTTGGCTTGCCAGCTCCTGCTTCTTCTTCCTGGTAAGTACTAGGAATGTGTTATTCACTCTGATAGCTTCTTTGTATTTTCTAAATGGAGCACGGAGGATGATCTGAGTACAATAATGCCCTAATCCCCCTCCTGCAGCACAATGTTGATGCTTCTCATGTGGTGGGGAAGCTGAAGCAATAAAGGTGCAGTGGGAGTGGTGTAAGCTGGGCCAGCGGTATTCCAGCTGAGCTCAGATGTTCCTCCCTCCCGTGTTTCTCAGCTGTTTTATGCTGATGGGGGGGAGTTGTGGGGCCTTCACATCTGTACTGGGTTTATTGTTAAGGGTTTGTGCCTCTGCCCCGAGACACGTAGGGAGTGCATGATACCACACACCATCCCTGCAAAGATTGCTGAGTTGCCAAGCAGCCATAGAACTGTTAGTTCTTTGTCTCAACAGGTCTATTCCTTGGTGGTGATTCTTCCAAAAACTCCTCTGAAAGACCGGATTTCTTTGCCCTGTAGGTAACTGTAGTGTTTTCCATACTATAGATGGATACTGCATCAGGATAAAGCATAGATGGGAGTAAAAGGTTCCTGCTGGTGTTTGTGCTGCAGATGCATTCCACGTCTCAGAGTTTAGATAACGTGGCAGAGGACCGATAACTTATCCCTAGAAAAGTTAGTATGTTGTGTCTTTTGGAGAGCAGAGTAAGAGCAGTTATACTGCTACTTTAGTAGCTAAATAATTACATTAAGAAAACAAGACCTACTGCTCAGTTAATGATGTAGATATAATGTAAATATATAATCTTCTGAGAGCCTTAAGAAATGGCTTCTTAATAACAGCTTCCTTTGAAATGCACACATGATGTTAAAGTGTGTGTGCTAGTCATCCCCTGGGAAGGGAAGCTTAAGTGGGAGCTGCTCAACAGTTTTTATCTGGGCTTTTGCTTTTGTAAGTAAATGCTTCTGCTTGTTTGGTTTTTGCTGTTGTTGCAGAATATCTGCAGCTCTTGAATAGAGAGAAGCTGTTACTTAGGTGTTTGTACTGAGCTCTTCTCTCTCTAACTAGTGTTGACATCCCTGTGTGGGTATCCTAAGGACGGGGATATGTATGGCACAGGCACAGGTCCTGGGCCTGATCTGCCTGGTGTCCAGCATACCCTGCTGCTCCTGTCAGGGTCTCCTGAGCAGTTTTAGTAGTGCTGTACATTGAAAGGGCACAGCTTCTGGTTCAGCTGGGTTGTTTTTGTTTAGTTTTTCTTGCGGTCAGTTATGTGACTGACACTGGTTCAATTAAATCTTTGCATGTGTTGCCATAACCTTGCTTTCAAAACCCATCCTGTGTGTGCATATGCACATGCAGGAGGGTATGGTTTAGTCCATTTTACCACCATCAATTCTGCCAGCGTGGGACAGGACAATGCTGTCTTAATTCTTCAGCAGTTCTTAGAGACAAGGTGGTGAGAAGCTTGTGTTGGATTTGGCATTTCCATCAAACAGATTTCCATGGGTCTGGTGTTTGAGGTTGAGCTTCACGTGTGTCCATGTCTTTCCCACAGCCAGGAAGAGTTTTTATATTTATGCTGGCATTCTGGCACTGCTGAACCTGGTGCAGGGCCTGGGCAGTGCCCTCCTCTGTGTGGATATCATAGAAGGATTGTGGTAGGTACACTGCGGGAGGAGGTCTGCAGCCCTGGATCTTGTGTTGTATTTGAGTGTCCTTTAACACTGCCTCTCTCAAGAAAACAAACCTATGGTGTGTTCCTAAGAAGGAATAAACCTGTTGGTTCTGGTTTGTGCCAAAAGACTGCAGAGTAATCAGGAAACTCCCCAGTGGAGAGGTTGTGGAGCTGTGTGTGCTGCAGTTGTCTTGAGGTGGTGAAGTGAGAGTAATAGTGTGAATTCACTGATGTCTGGCCATTAGTGGGTAATAAGAGAGGAAATTGTTTGTTAGAAATATGTAAGACACCCTTATACCTGGAGTCGTGTTCTGCAGGAATCAGTGTCACATCTGTGAGTCAAAATTGGGAGTACTGATACTCTGCTCTTGGCCAGACCTTGGGTTTTGGAATGGTTCCCCCGAGTGTCTAGAAGCAGTGCCGTATGTTGATGACAATGGCTGTGACTTTGCATCAGTTTAAACTTGTTTAGCATGATTTTTCTTGATCTCTGGACACTTTGAAGGGAAATTGGATCATTTGGGAGGATGTGAGTGATGTTACACAGCTCTATTGTGCTTGAGTACTAAACCCCTTCATGTTTGCTGTTGACAGCTGTGTTGATGCTACCACGTTCCTTTACTTCAGCTTCTTTGCACCTCTCATCTATGTGGCATTCCTGAAAGGTTTCTTTGGGTGAGTAGCCAGGAACAGGAGTTTAGATGGGTATATATTGTCATTTAAGTGTTTTGCACTCAGGTTCTCTCAATCTGCAGTCTGCCAGTTAGAGGAGTGCCCTTGAAGAATTTCTGTGACCCGGGGCTGCTCACTTCTGTGCAGGGCTCCTTTGTATGCAGAGCTGAGGGCTGGATTCCTCTCGCATTCCTGAGGATCACTTCTTCAGCGTCAGCATCGTGTGTAGTACAAAGTTTTTCTGTTGAAGCTGATAGCTAAGTGCTTAATGAGGAATTGAGTCCTGGGAGCTTAAATGGTCTTCTGGGGGGGTTTTGGGGTGAATTTGTAGAAAGGATGTGGGAGTTCAGTAGCTCTTCGGCCGAGGACTGTTCCATGGGCCCAGAGCTCGCTTGTGAAGAGCCCTGGGAAGGGCCATTCTCAGGCCGGGGTCGCCGCCGTGTGGCCACTCACGGGAAATGCACCTTGGTGGGAAAACGAGTGGTTTAGTGGAGGCTTTAGTATTTGTTGGTCATTAGCGAGAAACAGCAGGCTTTAAAATAACTAAGAAGATAAAGTGCTTTTAAAATATAAAAATATACCTCTGCATCCCTTTGAAATTAGAAGGGAACATTGTCTGGAGTTAAAGATGAAAACTGCTGATCTACAAGTGTTTGTATTTTGGTTTTCATGATGTGCACAGGTAGAACTTGAAGTGTATTCCTGCTCTGACTCATTTTTGTGTCAGTAGCCAGGATGTTGTGGAGTTCAGTAAGTGTTCGGGTGCTGTTGCCCTCAGTAATTCAAAGCTCCTGAAGATAAGAACTTTTTTCCCACACAGAGTCAGGATTTTTATATCTCTTAAGTGACTTCATCCAAAGCTTAATTTAGCATTTACTTTATGGCAGTTACTCTGCCACAGATTTATAGACCAAAAGCTTATTTAAAGAGTGTTTGAGGTCTAAATACACAATTTCCTAACGCTGATGAGTTTCAGTTAAGGATAGGTGGCTGTAATACCACGTTGGTAAAACATGCATTTTAAATCTTTCATCGCTCCAGGTCTGAACCGAAGATCCTTTTCTCCTACAAATGTCAGGTGGATGAACCTGAGGATGTGGATGTGCACCTACCCCACCCTTATGCTGTTGCCAAGAAGGAAGGAATGGATTCTGGGTTCTACTCAAGCACTCAGATTGACACCACAGCCTACCTGGACGACGTGGCCTCTATGCCATACCACGTGGGCAGCATCAACAGCATAGACAGTGACCGCTGGAAATCCATCAATGCCTGAGGCAGGGCTCCTGAATCACATGATGCCTCATTTCTTTCCTTCCAAACTCTCTGACACTGCAGCTGTTAGGATGTCCTCTGGAAATCTGTCCTTGGTTACTTGCCATGGCTTTCCTCTTGTCCTTAGGATTTCCCAACACCTACTGTGGAACTAAGTTGGCGGCCCAAACCCTTTTGGGAAGAACACTTTCTGTTACTACATGAGAACAGTGTGGAGCGGTTTTGTTCATAAACCTTTAAACACTGAACTTTCCTGATCCTCCACGTTCCAGATGTGAATGTGACCCAGAAGATAGCCCTGGCTGGCACCTCTTCCTTTTCAGTGACTGAAAGCACTTGCTTCTCACTTAGAGCAATGGTGTTTAGGGGTGAGGGTGCTGATTTGACTGCTGTATTGTACATATATAGAAAGATTTTGGTGGCTGAAACCAAATATGATCTTCCTGGACTAAGCAGCATGGCTGCCTGCATCTTGCCATAATGCAACAGCACAGGTGGTGATAGTGTCTGATGAGGGAAGCTGGTCACTGGGGCTCACCCTTGGTTTCAGCTAACACTGTTGAAAATTGTGAGTTGGAGTTGCTAGTGGTTAAAAGGAATGTTCTCAGTGTATGGGGAAAAAGAGGTATGAAGAGGAATGAACTGTTCTCTGTGCCCAGAGAACATTTGGGGAAGGCTGGTAGCTCACTGTGTGGATGTGAAGTGGCTGGACAGTAGGGAGACAGAAGGACAAACAGTGCTGCTGTCTGGCTGAGCTGAAGGAGCTGTGAACCAGTCTCTGGGGGCTGTAGTGCTGTGCATTTGAGCTCACAGGAAAATCTAAGCAGCAGCACTGAATCAGGGTTGAGTTTCAAGAGTAAAACCTATGAGGTAGGTGTGTTTTCCATCTGCACCATACTTCATGGCTTTGGCAGGGGCTCGGAGAGTGCTGTGAAGGAGGAAGGTGACTCTGCAGATGAAGGCTCCAGAGACATTCAGGTGCTTGAGGCAGAGCAGAAGCCTATGATGAGTCTGAGCTGTCAGAATTTAGTGAGGAAACTCAAACCCCTCAGGTGTGCTAGTATCAAGCTGGCTGATGTGCTGCAGTGGGAGGGGAGTGGGAGGTGAATGTGTATCTCTGGCAGTGTCCTTCCCTTACATTGCAGTTCAGATCCCCAGACTGCTGCTGGTCTGAGTAAGTTTTATGGCTCAATATGTTGAAAATGCTTATGTGCATGTGGGGAGTGGTCCTTTTCAAGACTTCCTGGAACTTCTTATTAACCTCTTCCTTGCTGGAAGAGGGACTCCTGTTGTCTGAGCTGTCTGGCATGCAGTTTCAGGACATGGTGTTCCAATCCAGCGACTGTTCATATAAAGGCTGCATCAGTCTGGTTTCTGGGATATCCTGTACTTTCCAAGGATGAAGATGTGTATTCCTCTAGATTTGGGGGTGCTTTCCTACCTGAGTTCTCCAGGTAGGTGGAGATCTGCTGTAAGCAGCTTTCCACTAGGGATGTTAGAAGGAGGGAATTTGCAGTGTTTGAGGACTGTGTGAATCTCTTGCCCCAACTTACTGCTGTTCCTGAAGAACACTTGAGGTAAGAGTTAGCAAGGTGCAGTGTGGAGGTGTTGGTTTGGATCATTAGCAGGTAGAGATGGTGTTTGCTACCAGGTGTTCCCATCACAGGGAAAGAAAATGTGGGTAAGAGCATGAAGTTCATATTGGTTGCCTAAACTATGCAGGCCTTTGCTTACCTTATTTTGTTAATGAGCAATGCATCTTCTCTGTCTGCCTGGGTACTTTGCCCTGCAGGCCTCTAAGTAGCACTGGCACCTTGACAACAAACCATGCCCCAACCCACCCAACCCCTCACCCCCCTTTTTTATTTTTATTTTATTTACTTCTGGGGGAAAAAAGGCTTCCATCTATCTGTGTGCTCGAGGTGAGTAGTTTGTTGTAGGTCACAGCCTGTCACATTTCCATTTCATGCAATGACTGCAGGGGCTGCATGAGGAGCTGGCCAAGTCAGCCCTTGTCATGTTAGAGAAGTGTTCCATGCACCTTGGTCACTGCTGTCAGTCAGCCTGAGCCACGCTGGACTGCTTGCTGTAAAAGGGATGGATGATGTGCTGCCTGAATTGCTCTGCTGCTGCTCCTAATGCTGCTTACAACTCTGATCCTGAGCTGCTCTTGGTTAGAAAGGGTGGGGGAGCCTGCAAAGCTTCCCTGGGCCTTGGACAGAGTAAGAGAGATGAAGATTTCAAAGCGGTTGAGAACTAAAGGAGCAACTGCTTTTCCATCCCAAGGAGTATTTGTTGACTTTCAACACCCTGAGTGAAAGGAATTTTCTGCCCTCCTTGGTAATGTGAAGAGCCTGTTATGAATTTGCCTTTTTTACCATCTGGATTCAGTGCTGAAGGATCACCTATGCAGGTTGTCAGCGTCCATCCTGTCCTTTGCTGGCAGGACTCCAGTATTTCTGGGATGTCCCATGTTCTGCTGCTGAGGAGCTTCTGCACTAGGTCATGGACTGACCTTCCTCCTGTTATGTATTTATGTATATATAATGCTTTGGGCCATCTTAAAGTGGTTCTTGAGCAAAGTGTGTTATGTGTGGGGGTGGTAAAAAAGAGAGAAAATATAGAATAAATGTATATTTTTGTTTGTAAAATAAATAAAATTAAGTTTGGCATAAATGGTCGTGCTTTATTTCTCAAATGAGACATACTGGGGAGGAAAAATAACTTGAAGATTTGAAAAAAAATGCAGGAAGGCATGGGCACAGGTGTGATGTGGTTTAGTTTGCCTTTGCCAGCTGTCTTTCCTGGATCACTCTGCAGGTGGTGTCTGCCACCTGGCTGGGAGTGTACACCTGGAAAGGCCTAGGGAGGGATGACGGGAATAATCACAGTTATGGAAATACTTCTGGAGGAGTAATCACATGGTTGAGAACTCACCAGGCTGGAAGAGCAGTGGTGCAGGCCTGTGAAACCCTTAGAGAGGACAGAAGAGGTGAGGAATATCTGTTCATGGGCTCTTTCAGCACACAAATGGGGTGCCATCAGATGAAGTGAGCAGGTGAGAATGAGCAGGAGGCAGGTGCGTGTGCTCTGGGGGGAGCTTCAGGCACCCCGTGCTCTTGCCTGGCTGTGCAGACAGCCCACGGTGCACCATGCAGTGCCCTTGTCTGGGAGCTCAAGCAGTGGGCTGACTCCAGCATGCACAATTAACAAAAATATTCCCTGCTCCCAGGAGTGTGCTCTAGAAGAGACCTGGATATTCAGGGGGGTTTGGTAGGTGCAGAGTCCCAGATACTCCCTTAACGCTGGCCCAAGTCCCACTCTGAGGCAAAGCTCTGGCTGCCACCTGCAGTGAGGAATAAGCATTAAACACTTAAAACTGCTCCCATGCACTACTGAGCAGCAGTGGGCCGAGCAGATAAGCACCACATTGATACCAACTGGCCCGTATTTCTGGGAATGCAGAAAGCTTGTTTGAAAAAGATTCTCCAAAGCTGTTAGTTCAGCTGCCCCTGTGTTGCATGACCTCATTCTTTCGGTTTAGGCTGTTGGATTAGCCATGCCTGGCAATGGGGCTCTCAGCCGTGGCCTGACCTATGCAGGACCCTCCTGTGTGTGTCAGGGCAGGTGACAGCTCCGTCTGGCTGGAGCAGAGGCTGGAAGGAGCGGAGGTGAATTCTGCTCCCAGCGCAGCTGCTGTGTCTGACGGGAGGTCATCCTCCCTCAACTTGGCAAAACCCCGTGACTTGGACGTGCAGCAGTGGAAGTTGTACGGCAGTCTGATGCCGCGTTCGCTGCCAGGGCGGTGTGGAGGGCGGGCTCACCGGGACAGGAGCGGGACTCTCCGCTATCCCGGAGCCGCATTGGAGCGCTGCGCTTCCCCGGCGCCGGGCGAGCCACCCGCCCCCGCCGTAGACTACATCCCCCAGCGTGCACCGCGCCCGGCCGCTAGCACTGCTCCGCGCTATTGGCTGTCTCGCGGGCATCGCCAATGGGGAGCGGGTATATTGGCAGGCGCTGGCAGGGCAGAGGCGCTGCCGGCAGCCGGTGCAGGAGAGGGGCGCGGCGAGGATAAGGCGACCCCGGGCGGCATGGGCTGCAGCGAGAGCAGCCAGGGCGGCAGGAAGGTGTCCTTCGGGCTGGATGAGCGGGAGCGAGTCCGGGTGCTGCAGGGCATCAGGGTGAGACGGCCCGGGGGTGCCGTGGGGCCGGGTGTCGGAGGCTGCGGGGGCGGAGGAGCCGGGCTGGGGAGGGCTCTGGCCGGGAGGTCAGGGAGAGGGTGCAGCGCTGGAAGGGACGGGCGCGGAAAGCAGGGAGGAGGGGAGGAAACCTGGAAGGCTGGAGGAGTAGGGGGCTGGAGGAGTGATGGGAAAGAGGGCTGGGGGCCTGGGCATGGCTGGTGTGTACCAGCTCTTTATTTTCACTTCCAAACTCTGCCCTCAGCCCTCTTTCTCTCCTCGCTGCTCGGTGGCCTCGTGTTGCCCCTGCCTTGTGCTTTGCCAGCGGTTGGATGCTAACGGCCCTGAGGGCATCCCGGAGGAGACAGCGCTGCCCGTGCTCGCGGTGCCGGGAGAGAGAGCATCGCCCTGTGAGCAGGGCAGAGGAGAGCGGGGGAACACTGCTCCTTGACCTTGGAAACTGACACACTTGGAAAGTGTGTGTTGTGGAAACAAGCCCTACGCAGTGGTGGTGCTACCGTTAAGGAATTATTTTTTTCCCCCGTTTATGTTTTTCTTTGGTTTTTTTGCATGTTAGTTTTCGGGTTTTTTATTACTGCCATCATTTTCATTGCTCTTGCTTCTTGATGCTTTTATGTGATTTCCCCCTAAAATCTGCCAGAAATGAACTTACAGAGTGTGTGTTGCTGTGGCTACTTATTTTTGTCCCATTTTGACTAATTATTTGACAAAAGTTAGCTAAGATTGTGCCTATCTCCTATCCTCCTTGTTAAAGTGTTTGATGGAGAAAAAATTGTCTTTGCCTAATTTCTCTTTACAGGATATAGACAGGATTTGTGTATTTAAAATTAGAAATTGGGCACGATAACAGTGTAAAATTAAGGTATTAAAATCTGTTAAGTTGGGTAGTAGTGGTATAGTTGAAAATATGTCTTCTACTGTGGTAAGTCTAGGTGGGGAACAGCCTCATTTCATTTTGTTCTGCAGCCGGACCCTCTGACCTTGGCAGGAGAAAGGGGTCAGTTTTAACAGTGCTGTGAGAAGCCTTTTGGACTGAACTGCCAGCAAACCTCAAGTTAACTTTTCTTTCTTTTTCATGGGTTTGAACCCAAGTCAGGGAGTGAAAATGAAGCTGAGATTGCAGAAGTGTTTGCAGGCCCATGTGGGTGGGAGGCTGTTCTCTGTCATGTGGGTTGCAGCATGTCTGCCATGCTGAGCTGCGTTAGCAAGCATGGAGCAAGAAGTGAAAATGATGGACTTAAAACCTGCTTTATTCCTTTCCTTCCACTTCTGCTAGATTTGTCCCTGTACAAAGGGTTGACTTGTTTAGGGGTGCTCTCCACCTTTGTTGGCATTTGTGGAAGATTGCCTAGTGAAGCTTTTAGGGTCAGGCAGTAGATTGGAGGTTTTGTCACTTACTGATGGGTTTTAACAGTGGAAAGTCAACATACAAGTGCTGTGTGGATTGGAGGGACACAGCAAGGAGGTAACTGACAATACTTCTGTGCTATCATGGAAACTAACAAATGGGGAGGTTCACAGTGAAATACACACCAGAAACTGACGTGGCTGGTTCTGTGTTTCAGCTCACTGAAGATGTAGTGAACCGGATGAAAGGATCCTCTCAAAGCAGAAGGGAGAACCAGAGATCTCCCCGAGCAGCCAATGGCACAGCTCCCTCCTCACTGGCTGCAGAAGGGAAACCCAGACCTACAGGTACTGAGGGGTGGTGCTGCCACTGCTTGTCACACAGGATGCTGGTAGTTTTCAGTGCTGCCCCGTTGTGAGAGGAGCTCTTTGGTTAGCCTGTGTCACTCTGTGAGCATTTCTAGGATTTCAGGTCAACGTGCAATAAACAAGGCAGAAATATTTTGCTTTTTGTTTCTGGCAAGCTGCCTTGTTGTCTGCTGTACATGCACAGGGTGTATAATGTGCATGGGTGAGGGAAGTGCTGCTTTGTATTCTTTAGAAAGAAGCTCCCAGGGAAAGATAACCTATCTAAGCACAGCTGGCTAAGTGGATGATGAAAACTTGGTTTCTGAACTTGACTTTATTTACATGTCAGAAAGCTATTTGATTTCTATTGGTTCTCAAATAGGCTTTGTTGATCTATATCAGCAGTGTGGATTTGTTTAAGGCATCCAGACTAAAATGGAGTTAGGGAACTAGGCCTTTGCTTTTAGGGATTTGTTTGCTGTCAGCCTATGTCTTTCCTGAATGTAGATTTAGCTTTATGGCTGACCTGAACTTCATCAAATAATTTCATCTTCACTTGTGGAATTCCTTTTAATTGCAAGGAGAGAAGGAGGTCAAGAGGAAGACTTACTGGAACTAGAGGAAGGAAATGGAAAGTAGGTCTACAACCATGCTCATATTTCAGTATATATAAGGGTTTGAGGAGTTAATATCCTCACATAGAAGTTTTCTGTAGCGTGGTTTATGCAGCATGCCTGTTTGAAAATGATGCTGTTGGTGTGTCTGTTTCATAAACTCACTCTATCCATCAAACTTAAATTTTCTTGACTTTCTTTTTATCTTGATGAATAATATGAATATTTCTTAAAATAATCTATGATGTGACGGAGGTCTACATTTGTAGTCCTATGAGTTGTCACAGGTTTCTCTTTTCCTTTCTAGAAATTCAGCCACCAAAAGCAAGTGACTCTTCTGCAGAACAGGAACTCTACAGGAGGTGAGGTGAAGCTCTTGAAAAAGACAATAGTTTAGCTCATTTGGGAATGTATCTATGTATATATATGTCTGTGTTTTACTTCAGTCTGAGCATAATGAGTGTGTCTTTGATAGTGGCTGAACATGAGCCCAGGTGTGTCCAGGTGGCCAAGAAGGCCAGTGGCATCCTGGCTGTGTCAGCAATAGTGTGGCCAGCAGGACCAGGGCAGGGATTGTCCCCCTGTACTGGGCACTGTTGAGGCCACAGCTCAGATCCTGGGTTCAGTTTTGGGCCCCTCCCTGCACAAAGACATTGGGGTGCTGGAGTGTGTCCAGAGAAGGGCAAGGGAGCTGGGAAGGGGCTGGAGCACAAGTCCCCGTGGGACTAGCTGGGGGTGTTCAGCCTGGAGAAAAGGAGACTCGGGGAACCTCATGGATCTACAGCACCTGACAGGAGATTGTAGCCAGGTGGGGTCAGTCTCTTCTCCCAGGTGGAACAAGTGACAGGACAAGAAGAAATGGCCTCAAGTTGTGCCAGGGGAGGTTTAGGTTGGGTATGAGGGAAAATTTCTTCACTGAAAAGGTGGTCATGCACTGGAGCAGGCTGCCCAGGGAAGTGGTGGAATCACCATTCCTGGAAGTATTTAAAAGGCCTGTGGATGTGGCACTTTGGGACATGATTTAGTGGTGAACATGGTGGCGTTGGGTTGATGGTTGGACTTGATTTTTTCCATCCTTGATAATTCTGGGATTCTATTCTATGATTATGTTTTAGTACCTGAGAATCCCCTTTGAAGCCTTTTTCAGTTCAGGGCTGCTTCTCTTAGTGCTGCTGCTGCATGCGTTTTGTGTGATTTGTCTTTCCTGTTTAAGAACCAAAGAGCAGCATTGTCAGCCTGGCTGACTCCTTTTATTGTTGTATGTCCCTTGATCTTTTCCAAAGCAGTGTCTATTTGTCTGGCTCACTGCTTCCTATTTTCACTGTTTTCAGGTGATAATTAAGTACTTAATAGAGCTAAATATAACTCAAGTATAAGCTTATATGGTGCTATGCCTGCTGTTGTTGCCAGAGCTGTACCTCACTGGAATTCCAGGTCGTATTAAAAGTTTGTTGAGCTTTGAATTCCTGCTGATGATGGGATTGTGAGCAGATTTTGCGTCAAAGAGATTGGATTTGTGTTTTGGCTCTGAGCAGGGGTACTCCATGACAAGCCATGACCCTGTTGGCAGAAGTCTGCTGATGACCTTCCCTCTCTTTTGATGCTTATACAGGTATATGGAGGAGCAGGCACTGGTCCAAGAGGAGCTGCTCCGGCTGGCCAAGAGAGAAAGGGAAGCAGCCAGTGAGGCCAAGGAAAGGATTGGCATTATTGAGGAGAGGCAGAGAGCAGCCCAGCTGGTGAGTAACAAACCCCCTGCTATGTTTCCAACCTGCACAGGCTAAAATGGCTCTGCTAGAGGGAATTCATTTAATGTCATTTCTGTGATGAGCTTAGAAACTTGGGTTGAGGCTGAAACATTCCTCACCTCCCTCATCACTCAACATTTTGGCTCACAGTGCAGCTGCAAGCTCCACTTACAGCATGTCACTCCCTGCTGCCAAGGCATGAACAATGGCTGTGCTGGGGACAGCTTTACCTGTGGCAGGGAGTATGGTATATGTGCATATGGTCCTTGTCTAGCTACAGAGAACTCTTTTTGAACTCTTAAGTGTATGAAATAAATGTTTCAATATATACAGGATCAAATTCTGCTGACCTGTTATATCCTGAGACTTTGCTCTGGTTTTTTCTGGGGTATAATAGTGCATGTACACAAATTAATAAAAAGTAATAATGTCTTCATTTGTTTGAGTCTTTTATAAATCTGGTAGCAGAAGAACTGTTATAAAACTGTCAAGTCTGTAACCTTTGTAGAAAAATTGTAACCTTTTGAAGAAAGTCTAGGATTGATTTTTAGGGACGAGGAAGCATAAACCCTTTTTTGAACACACCACTGACTCCCAAACCAATTTCTTAGTGCCCAGCAGGCAGACTTACTTTTGGGGACTTCTTGCTGCAGCTTTTACTATTAGTCAGGCACCTTGGTGTTATGATGACCCATTGGGTTGCTGTCATACCAGTGCTGAGAAGAGCAGTGCTGGAGGCAGAAGTACAGTGAGATGAGGCTGAGTAGAGCAAGAGGTTTTTATCAATCACTACAGTACACTGGGGTTGTCATTGGTGCTTAATATTCACATGATACTATTTTATATTGTTTTCTTTTCCATACTGCCATTCCTATGGTGTACTGTCTGTAACCAGTGCAGATTAGTGGAGCTGCCACCTTTTCCTGACCTGCAGTGGTGTCAGGGTGTGACAGCCAGGTGGGGCCATGCTTGCCACAGTGAGATCAAACTGCCCATTCATTTAGACTGTGCTGTTAAAACTTTATTGAGAGGACTAGGCCAAGGGAATTCTCCTTGCCTGGTGCATACTGAAAGGATGGTTAGGGAAAAGACAGACTGGAGCATGAATAGTCTTTATTGTGCTTCTTTCATCCTACTGATCTGTAGCTTAACCCATGTATGCTTCATTCAAGTGAAGAATCCTATGAGGTTTGGGGTTTTTTTAATATGTTGAATGCTAACACGCCTGGTTTACCCAGGGAAAATGCGAAGCATTTAGAGGTTATAATATAAAGATATTTTTGGGGACTTATTAACATTTATGTAAGAATGGCGACAGTGTTTCAAAGAAAAGGTCTTTGTAGCTGCAGTCCATCTCTGACAGTGATCCCCGGCAGCTGCTGACGGAGAGCATGAGAACACAGCAGGTATATAACAGTATTTCCCACCTATACCCTTGCAAATTCTGATGTTCTAAGACATAGGGCTTTGAAAGCAAGAGTTTGTATTTTCACTTCGGTGGTTAACAGTCTTTAAGTAAATTCTCTTTTGTGAATTGGTCTGTTTGTGGTTTTGGACCCAACTGTACTTTGTGATAAAGTTTGTGCATGATTAGATTGGTAGGTGTGTGAGATTGCTCTCCTAGATGGATACAGCTTGTGAACGGCTGCTGTGTGGCAGGAAATTTCCTCTTGGCAGATTGGATTCTGACCATGGGGTGCTGGATGATTGCTGAGCTTCAGAGCAGTGATATCTGAGGCAGGTGACTGTTGCTGCTCTGCAAAGGACACCTGGGTCAGCAGGTGCGCTATTAACACTTTTCACTAGAGAGAGAATATTCTCTTTATGAATGCAATTAACTGGCTTCTGTAAGAGCAAGGGGAAGAAGAAGCTGGTGGATTTGTTGTCCCATCTAAAGATGTGACTTTGCTCAAAGTAGAGCCCTGCCTTCCTGCAATGAGGTGGAGTGTAATCCTGAAGAAATGTGGCTAGCAGAGTTGTGCAATATTTGTGAAATGCAAAAAGGACATAGCTAAAATGAGTTGGGACCTGACTGCTCACATACAAAAGTTGTTTTATTATCTGAACTAGCTTTCAGTCCTGTAGTGTTGCATACCCAGATATTATATACTTGATGCACTGTAAAAATCTGATTAGGGTCCCCTTATAGTAAATAGTGACCACAGTGTGTTTTCTGAGAATGTGGTGAAAGAATGAGAAACTGTTACATTTCATTGCTCTTTAACTATCTCTTGATCAGTCATAAATTTAGGATCCTTAAAAAATTGGGATAGTCTAGCGTGTCCTTGCAAAGATGAGGGCAGAGCTATTGTTTATCAACTTCCAGATACCTTCCTGAAAAGGAACTGTTGTGGCCAGACTTAAATTATCCCTATCAGACTTGCTTTATCTCAGCTACTGTTTCCTTTTGGGCACGGGTACCTTATTGTATTGACTCAATCCTACTCAAACCATGTCTGTCCTTTGTCTTCTAGTGTTATCCTCCTTTATTATGAATAGGGCTTGAGTGTTTCTTGCTCTTCTAGTTTTTAGCCCCAGCAAATGGGGAAAATACTGGGTATGAGGTGCTTGTCCATATCTTGTGTCAATCTTCTCTTTCAGGTAGAAGATAGTAGAGGAACTCAAGGTATCTAGGGGTAATCCAGGTGCAGATAGCAATGGAAATTACCTGCTTACATTTATAAGGGAGAAACTTCCAGGGTTGTTTTTGTTGTTGTGACCTATTAGGGAAATGAGATTAAAAATGGGGCAATGCTCATGAAAGCAATAACAAATGAATAATTTGCTTCTTAAGCAGCACTTAATTTGGTAAAAATTGAAAACCATGCCACGTATAATTAGAAAGTTTTGTTCATTTTTCTAGTATTTGCATTAAGATCTTGAGCTGCCCTGTGCTTTTAACATATCAATACATCAGTGATTAGTAGCTCTTTTTTGTACTGTTGTCTGCAGCAGTGCTGGAACATTCCCCTGTAACCATACCACTTGTATAAATCCAAGTACCATAGCTGTATTTTGAAGTGATTTCATTGTGGTTGTGCTGAACATTGCATGTCATTTAATCTGTTCTTTATGGCTTTCACTCACTGACTTTTATTATTGGAAATATTGCTATAAGCACTTCAGTGTTATTGTATGGTGCACACAAAGAGAGGGTGGACTAGAATTAACCTTTGATATGGGACTTGCTATCAGCTTCTGGGGCCAGTTACTTGATTGTTTATGGGGCAGGGTGCAGATTAAAACTTACTGTTATTTTGTTGTGGTTTGTATATTTTGTTTAGCTAATTTTTTCTCCTTCAAGTGTACTGGTTTCAAGAGGGATTTAGAGTTAAGTACCTGGGTCCTTTTCTACATTTTTGTCGTGACCTTTCTTTTTCTTTTAATGACTTTGAAGAAGGTACTTAGCTTCTAGATACCTTAGGTTTTGAGTAAAACTCCTTACAGCTTTAGTTTAAGAAGCAAAACAGCTCTGTAAGTAATAATGCAGCATTGACTTTCCTCTTTGAGTGAATATGGCTTTTTCATTAACCCTGGGGACTGGCTCAGGTGGAAGTAGTCTGCTAAGCTGCTGTAGAAGAACTCTCCCCAATTTATATTAGAGATAAAATGTTTTGTTTGCTTGTGCAGCACTGCGGGATCATGGTGCTGAGTGGACTCTCTGAATAATTTAGTGCTGTGGGTACTTACAACACAACAAGGATTATATGTACAGTATTTCAGAGCAAGGCCTAGGGTGTTTAAGTAATGCTGGTGCCGTGCCTTAAGTCTCATGTGAAATACCCAAGAATTAACACAGCTATCTTTAAATCCTTTTCTATTTCTAGCATGCGGAACTTGCAAAGTTGTCAGTCAAGTTATTTAATTGCTTGACTATGTTGTGAATAGTCTCACCATTCCCCTATGTGAGAAATCTTTCCTTTTTCATTTCCAATTAATCAAAACCTCTTCTCTTAACTTCTTAGTTCTTTCGGGTTTTCTTTTTTTCCCTTTCTTCCTACCAAGAAAGGAAACTGCAAACAAAGCTGCTCTTTTTTCCTCCTTTTTGCTTTTGTAATTTCTGAAGGTTGAGCAGCATGTGCAGCATATGCATCAGGAGGCTCTTGGAGCCAGTGACTGTGTGCCTGATGGTTTTCACTGAAACCTTTAGGACAAATCAATGTGGAATGGGGATGGATAAAAGCAGAAGCTGGGGGGGAATAAACGTGATTAAGCGAAGACATCTCATTACTACTCTAGAAAGGGAGGATTATAACTTATAAAATAGGAGGATCTCATTTAGAGGCCATGTGCACTTGTGTTATCAGGACAGAGGGAGAGCAAATAGAATAAATGAAATTAATACTTTGAAAAGAAGCATTACCCGGATTTGAGCATTGAACTAATATGATTTGTGCAAAGCCCTGAAGTTCTTATCTCCATTAAATACCCCAAGGATAATGGCTTTGTCAGAGTTATTGACCAAAAGTTGTCGTCTTCCTTCTCACTTTGAAAGAATGAGTTCAGAAATGGGGTGATGGTAGGTCAGACTTTGCACTATGACCAGCTGTTTCAGGCAAGACTGACGGGCACTGGCTGCTGTGTGAAAACAGACGGGGCAGAGAATTCTGGAAAGTTTATGCAGCAGTCCATGATGGATGATTTGTTATTCCCAGTGTTTTTGATCGTGCCTGCTCACTGGCTTGCTGGATGGCAACCTTTGCTTTCTGGTGGTTTCAGCATTGGACTGTTGTGACTATTGTGGCTCAAATGGATATGAAAGGAAATACAACAATATGGGTTTGCTTCAGGTTGCTCCAGTAGCTGATTATAATTGGTTGTAGACTGTTGAATTCTTTCGGATGATTTCTTGCCTAGATATAATCTCTTTGCTTTTCAGAGCCTCTTATCTCCTCTTCTAGATTCAGGAAAAATGGGATGAAGGAAAAATATGTGATTGGGAATGCCTTTGATCAAGCAGTGTGTTTTGGTAACAGTGTCACCTTGTGAAT